CCCGTTGGAAACGGTGAAGATCTAGCAGCTCGAGAGTTCGCCGGTTACTCGAAACCGGTGGATAAGCTACTCGAGTGATGTTGTCGTTTGTTGCGTCGTGCGCTTCGAACAAGCGGTATGTTCGAGAGTGGTGGCGCAGGATTGTCGCTGGTTCGGGTTGTTTGCTGGTATGAAGTCGTGGTGTGATGAGGTTGCACGTATTTTATTATGTTAAATGGAAAAGACTTTATTTTGAAGAGTGGTAGTTTCTGTGGTGTTTGTCTATTTTCCCCTTTTGATCTGATGTGCGCCGCGTTGGTGCGCTTATTTATAAAAAGGTTTAGGGGTACAAGGTGGTGGTTTCCGCCAACGAGGTCAGGTCTACCCCCTTGGACGGTCCTCTCGTTGGTGCGCTTATTTATAAAAAGGTTTAGGGGTACAAGGTGGTGGTTTCCGCCAACGAGGTCGGGTCTACACCCTTGGACGGTCCTCCCTGGCCCGCGAGCATGCCGTCCACCCTGGAATTTCCAAGTTGGCAGGGTGGCGGTGTGTCGCGATGGCGGGGGAGTGAGGCCCAAGGGTAGCCCGCGCGTAATGGGACTTTGGGTGGTCAGGGAGACGTCTGTTGAATGTTCACGAGTGGGCACCGGGAAGGTATGTGGCCCGCAGAAAATTTATTTTTCTGCAGCCGTAAAACGCTTCCTGGGCTTCGTGGCCAATTTGAAAGAAAAATTAATTAACGCGGAGAAGAAAAGGGGCGTATTCAAAAATAGCGTAAACAGACGTCCATGTCATAAACCCAATCCCTAACATCGTTTGATAGAGTGCATAATTAATCGAGAGCTTTTGGGTAAATGTTGCTGCGTATTGGAAATGGGTTATGGAAATGAGATAGTCTTTGTAAACTGTTAACATTCTACTTATTCTTCGACTCAGAAGAAACGTCGATACTTTTTGAAATGCTCTATCGAACTATCTTTGGACAAAAAGGGAAAGCTGAGGTCCTTAGTCCTTAGTTTTATCTGTATTCGCAACTAGTCACCCACTTCACCTTCCAACTCTCCTGCATAGTCACAACCCAAAGTGCATCTTCCCAGAACCCTCAAGTAGCCCTATTTTCCCCATTTCCGCGTTCATTCTCTGTTTTACCACGCGCAAATACAGTGTTTTAATTCAGTGATACCCCAATATCTGCTCCTAGATCCGAGGAATTGGAGCAAACCGGGCATCGCACTACGAACTGTTTATCCTATTGTATCGCAGTGTGCGGTGCTTGGCTCGAAAACGAACACCAGACACATCTGGTGGAAGTCTTAGAGTCTTTGTCTAAAAGAACGCGGAGACATTTTTGTCCTCGCTTGATTATTTCCACAGGGTACTGTTGGAAATAGTCCAACACTGCGTTATTCGGAATTGTTTTGAATTAAATACTCAGTCACTTTCGGTCGTTTTATGAGAACGCTTGGGGATAGGTATAGTTGGTGGAAGGGATATAACGAAGTCGTAAATTAAAGTGTTACGCGGGTACGCTGATTGATGTAGTGAGACTGAAGGCTGTGTGAATTGATATTTAAAAGTTCTGCTTATGATCTTTTATTAACCCTTTCGCTACTATGGACGATTATAGTGGCTCGCTATGAAGCGTTGTATGGATACTGTGAGTGGCTACGGTCGTTTGCTGCGATACAGCTACTGCGTACAACGAGCGAGTATAGCTACCTGAGATATAACGCGGACGTTTTAAGATAGCAGATATTCGATGGAAATTTAACGGAGTTGGCTTGTTTGCACGATAATATCAATGAAAATTTTGTAAACAGCTGGTACTGCGTGATTATTTCTTGGCAGAGACTGTCGTAGCGAAATGGCTGAGGGTATAGGCTGTTAACTTTCATCGCTTCGTGCTTAGTATTTATTACCGTATTGGTAAAAAGTCGGAGAAAATATGCTCTACTTGTGGGAACGCTTGTATAGTTGGTGGAAGCAATATAATGAACTTGTAAACTAAAGCATCAAGCAACTGCACGTCGTTTGTGAATCGATATTTAAAAAGTCAGAGAAAGTGCATTGCATTTATGAAAATGCATGTATAGTTGATGGGAGCGATATAACGAGATCGTGAATTAAAGTATTATGTAGCTAACTGCACGTCGCTTGTGAATTGATACTTTGAGAAGACAGAGAAAATATGCTCTACTAGTGGGAACGCTTGTATAGTTGGTGGAAGCAATATAATGAACTTGTAAACTAAAGCATGAAGCAACTGCACGTCGTTTGTGAATTTCTACTTGTGGGAACGCTTGTATAGTTGGTGGAAGCAATATAATGAACTTGTAAACTAAAGCATGAAGCAATTGCACGTCGTTTGTGAATCGATATTTAAAAAGTTAGAGAAAGTGCATTGCATTTATGAAAATGCATGTATAGTTGATGGAAGCGATATAACGAGATCGTGAATTAAAGTATTATGTAGCTAACTGCACGTCGTTTGTGAATTGATACTTTGAAAAGACAGAGAAAATATGCTCTATTTGTGGGAACGCTTGTATAGTTGGTGGAAGCAATATTATGAACTTGTAAACTAAAGCATCAAGCAACTGCACGTCGTTTGTGAATCGATATTTAAAAAGTCAGAGAAAGTGCATTGCATTTATGCGTGCTTAGTATTTATTACCGTATTGGTAAAAAGTCGGAGAAAATATGCTCTACTTGTGGGAACGCTTGTATAGTTGGTGGAAGCAATATAATGAACTTGTAAACTAAAGCATCAAGCAACTGCACGTCGTTTGTGAATCGATATTTAAAAAGTCAGAGAAAGTGCATTGCATTTATGAAAATGCATGTATAGTTGATGGAAGCGATATAACGAGATCGTGAATTAAAGTATTATGTAGCTAACTGCACGTCGTTTGTGAATTGATACTTTAAAAAGACAGAGAAAATATACTTGATTTATGAAAACGCATGTATAGTTGGTGAAAGCGATATCATAAAGTCGTAAGTTAAAGCATTAACTGTACTTCAGTTCTGAAGTAATATTTTAAAAAGTCAGAGAAAACATGTTTCATTTATGAAACCGCTTGTATAGCTGGTAGAAGCGATATAATAAAGTCGTAAAGTAAAGCATTAAGTAGCTGTACCTCATTTATGAATTAATATTTTGAAAAATCGGAGAAAATATATTCCACTTATGAAAACGCCTGTAGAGTCGATGAAAGCGATATAATAAAGTCAAAAATTAAAGTATTCAGCAGCTGTACCTCATTTATGAATTAATATTTTGAAAAATCGGAGAAAATATATTCCACTTATGAAAACGCCTGTAGAGTCGATGAAAGCGATATAATAAAGTCAAAAATTAAAGTATTAAGCAGCTGTACCTCATTTATGAATTAAAATTTTGAAAAATCGGAGAAAATATATTCCACTTATGAAAATGCCTGTAGAGTCGATGAAAGCGATATAATAAAGTCAAAAATTAAAGTATTAAACAGCTGTACCTGACTTCTGAATTAATATTTTAAAAAATCGGAGAAAATATTTTCCATTTAAGAAAACGCCTGTATAGTGGATAGAAGCGATATAATAAATTTGTGAATTGAAGCATTAGATAGGTTCGTCACTTATGAAGTGATATTTACAATTTTTCTCCGTCGCCTGCTCAATAATTATTACCGTATTGGTAAAAATGAACTTGCAGCTCCTAAGAATGAAATCACAAACAAATGTTTCAAATCTTCTACAAAGGAAGAATTAATTCCAAGTTGGCGTCGAACGACCCTGAACAATGCTCCAACTCCTTATCTCCCTTCAAATTGCTGTTTCGGCGCTCCTATTCCGTATACTTCGACACGTGATCGATTTTACGTCTTCCCTATACATATATCGCTTCCACCAACTGTATATATGTACATTGTAGTTTATTCTCAAAATTTCCAATTTTACCTTTTCCCTCTAGAGTGCTACAATCTTTCCACATACATACTACCTTAAGTCGTATATTTTCAAACGACAGCCCATTTGTTTGCCGCTCCATCCCCCCTCTAGGCGGACTTTAATGTAATCAATCGGATACCGATGGCGGCCGGTAAATTATGCGCATGCATATTAAGCGGGCCGATTTTTAAGACCGATTCCGCGGTTCTTTCCACGGCGGGAGTGCATAGAGATGCAGTCGCCGAGTCTCCTCGTTGAAACTTAACTCCGACACTCGACGCTGGGATCGGTTAAGAACGTGCTTTTACGCGTCGAGACGCTCTTAATCGTTCCCACTGACAACTCGATTTCCCTCGATCCTTTCACCGAGATACACTTTTCTAACTTTATTTCTTCAAATACACCGTGATTAGGATTCGATTTTTTCACGTTTCACGACGTTTCGTACGAAAAATGAGGAATGACGTCATTGAACGTTAATGGCGCCAAAATTTTGTTTACCACAGTGTATCGGTATCGAGAAATTTGAGAAGCTTACCTTGTCTCGGTTTTCGCCCTTTGGTTCGTGCTGGTTAGAAGTATTTCTGGATCTTCTGTTTCGACATTTGAGGATTGATTTTGTGGGAAGTGGAAAATTAGTGGCCGAGTTGAATTCTATTCCTCCATTGTTAACCATAAATCGTCGACGATTGGTAAAGTTTAGAAACATGTTAGAATATTTACACTAATTGTTTATCGAACCACGATACATGCACACGTTAGTTTAAGCACTTGTTAATGTAGCGAACTGTGAAGAATTTTAGCGATAAACTTTGTGGTATTTCGCATTATTTGCATATTTTTTCGAAACACTTTCTAAGACGCGCGAACGCGAAGAAGTTTAGAACAGCACTAAATTTCGATTTGAACTGCTATAGTTGCGCCACTTAAACTGCAACGCCATCTGTCCCTTTTCTTGTATAATGTGAAATAATAATTTAAGGAATTAGGAGCAAATTTTGATAGTGTTACATGTAATTAATCGACGTGATATTTAAAAGTCTACGTCTTTTTGATTACTTGTTCTGTGAAATAAGTAGTACGGAATGGCAACAAGCTTTTACGCCAATAGTGGTAAGTTTCTATTAGAATTAAGGTTATAGCTTGCCTTTATGCGAATCAAAACATCGCACTGTTTTATACAAGTTTCAGTCAAAAAACCATGTCCTTACATGGAAAAATGCTATCGAAAAAATCCCATACATTTCAACGAGATGTCACATCCACATTGTGAGTATTAATTGTTTAGTTTTATTCGTATACGATGAACGTTCAGTCGTGATAAACTAAGTGTTTCATTTCAAGTGGAAAAAATTGTAAAAAACCAATTAGAAGACGAAATACGAATTCCTGAGAAGCTTGATTTTGAATGCTCCGATCGATCTCTTCTATTAGACCAATTGAAGCTCCTGCAAATAGTATTAAGGAAAGAAAGATATGGCAGTGGAAGTAATGCTGCAGACAAACTGTCTGTTAAATTTACAGAAAAAGATAGTATAGATAAGAATAATGTTAACAAAGTGAAGGAAGATTTGGATAATCTAGAAATAGTGGAAGAAAGCACAGAAAAAGGCAGTTCTTCTCGAGACAGGAAAAGAAATAAGAGTAGTTTTGGTGATAACGAAAGGGGGAAAAAGAAGTCGAAATCAAGTTACAGTAAATGTGAGGAAGGGGACCAAGAATGTACTCAAAGTCCACACACAGGTTCAGAAAGTGCTCAAAGTTCCGGTTCCACGCAAGGAATATCTATATTGAAACTTTTTCGATCGTGTAATTCTGCAAAATCCAGAAATACAGTCAGAGCGATAACAATCAAGAGAATGAAAGAAGGGGGATTTGATGTGTCGCTGGTTGAACCTGGAAATTTTGCAATGAAACATGCACTCTCCGCGCCGTATCATTTATTTTTCACAAGGGTGGAAAAGTCAAAGCCGACATACGATCAGCAATTTACTGTAACATTTCCTGAAATACTAGATATAAGCTTAGGAGAAATAGTGAATAGCTTACAAATTAATTTCATGGTTAATCTCGAATGGTTATGCTTGCAATATTTATTGGCTTGTCAAAGCACAGATATGTTAATTTTATACGGAGAAAGAGTAGACGATATAAATCTGGGCTTAAATATTACCATGATACCCATAAGTATGCCAACGAAATTTGGCTGTCACCATACTAAAGTCATGATGTTTAAATACAAAAATGACGGTATACGGGTTGTTGTATCTACCGCGAATTTGTATGCGGACGATTGGGATAATAGGACGCAAGGGTCTGTCATATAATGTTTAGCTCATTTTGTGTTTGTGTTAAAGGGGAAATCTCAATAGATAAAAGGTTGGTTCAATTTTGTTGATCAGACTTTGGATATCGCCGCTTCTTCCACCACTTCCAGAATCTGCGAATCCAAGTGATGGTGAATCGCCGACGGGTTTCAAGAAGGATCTGGAACGTTACCTCAATAAATACAGACAGCCAGCTTTAACAGAGTGGACCTCTGCTGTCAGAAGAGCAGACTTCTCTTCAGTAAATGTATTCTTTCTGGCTTCTATCCCCGGGAGGCACAAAGACTTAGAAAAAGATTTTTGGGGGCACAGAAAATTAGGCTCCGTTCTTTCTAAACATGCCAAATTACCTCCAGACTCGCCACGCTGGACATTAGTCGCTCAAAGTTCTAGTATCGGTAGCTTAGGTCCAAATTACGAAAGTTGGCTTAGAAAAGAAATAGTATCCTCGATGTCGAAGGAAAACCCGTCAAGTTTGAAAAGCCTTCCGAGCTTTCAGTTCATTTATCCCACGATAAATAATTATAAACGCAGTTTCGATGGTCAAGTTGGGTCTTCTTGTCTACCCTATAGACTTCTTACACATTCTAAACAGACATGGGTAGAATCCTACATGTAGTAAGTTCCACATTTTTACTCGTACCTCTACAGTACCTGATAACTTTTTACTTATTTCATAACTTTCTCAGCCAATGGAAGGCTACACGTACCGCGAGGGATAGAGCAATACCTCACATAAAATCTTACACAAGATTCTCGCCGGATTTCAAGGAAATTCCTTGGTTCGTTCTCACCAGTGCCAATTTAAGTAAAGCCGCTTGGGGAACGAGCGGGGTGGACTCTCACTATATCTTGAATTACGAAGCCGGTGTTGTATTTATTCCAAAATTTGTCGTACGTACAAATTCTGCTATTCGTTCATAGATAGCTAAAGATATTCTTTTCCATTTATTTTCTATTTTTTTTGTTAGACTGGATCAACAACTTTTCCTGTTCAAGAAGAAGAACCAGGAGTACCAGTCTTCCCTATTGCATACGATTTACCTCCAACGAAGTACGAGAGCGACGATAAGCCGTTTGTCCAGGATTTTTTCTTCGAATAATTAGAACGAAACGTTGTATCTATTTATTTATGCGAATTCAAAGAGCACAGCATGTACGAATCAATTTTTTTTTATAATAAATGCGATATTCACGACTATTTACAGCACGTGTGTTGATCATCGTTGAAAAGAGAAGAAATTGCAGGTTGCTCGCTCGTTGAAATGCCGTTCGTGTTAAACTCTATTAACAAAGACCTGAAACAGAATGTAATGTTTGAGCGAGACTGCCGGTAGGCTGATAGAAATTTTACGACGTCTGAAATTCCCACGTGGCACGTGACTTATTTCTTGATTCGCCGGTGATTCGTGCCGATTTCGTGGTTGCTCGTTTGACCGCTGCCTTCCCGACGTGGCATAGTATCGCTTGTGCATGCCCCGCCTTCAAACAACGTTTAACGAAGTTCTGCTTGCTCTTCTCTTCCGTACCAATTACACATAGCTTACCCGTGTTTCGTAAGGTGAGTCACAAGCAAACGCGATCGTCAATTCTCCACGTTTCTTCGAAATTCCTCGAGGAAAGAAACGGAAAGATAGTTTAATTTCGCAGATAGTGAGACTTTATATTTTTCTCTATAAAAAAATGCACTTAAGATTGACGACGATATTAAAGTAGAAAAATGCCCAGGTGTTAGAAAAATGATGAAATTCTGCACGTTCCCTTATCGCCTGTCTTATCTACGAAAGTTCCCCTTACGCTATTTTTTTCACCAGCTTAAATATTTAAGTCAACAAGCGGACGTAACCGTTTTCAAGAAATTTGAACGGCAACGCGTCGATAACGTTAATAGCGATCGATCATTCCGATAACGAAGCTAGCTAAAGTAGTTTCTTGCTGTAAAATCGACCAGTAAATGGAAGCTAGCAAAAAAATTCTACGTCGAATATCCTGTAACATAAAGCTTGTTGTGCGGTAAAACGCGATAATTCAACGTTATGATAATGAAGTAACGTAACGACGCCACTAAACCGCGCTTATGGCAATTTACGTCGCATCTACGCTCTTTAATACCGCATTTAATTCGCCGACATAAAGAGCTTATTAATAAACAAATCGAAGATGTTACCTTTATCTTCTCTTTTTTTATATAAATAATCACCGTCGTTGACTATAAAACTAGACCTCGCTGGACGTACGGATCAGCGAACACATAAAGCACCAGCAAAGGTCAAGGATATCAAAAAATTTTCAATCTACTTCCACTTGTTTTCTCTCTCACGCCGCTACTTCAGATATTCCATTTTTGCGTCAAGATTAGACCGTACACCGGTTCCGCGAGGTCGACAACGTTCATCTCTATTTTTTTGAATTAAAGAAAAAGGTAGGCGAAAACGAGCGGAGTTTGCACAACGTACAATCTCTTCTCGTCTATGCTGCTCATTCGACGTACGCGCATCGGGGAGGATGTTAAAAACATGGCGAGGAGCCGGCGTCATCCTGACTGCCGCCTGCAACCGGGGGATTCGCGCCTCTCCATTAAGAAAGGCGCCAAGGATTTTGACGTCAAAGCACGACAAGGCTTCTCGCCTCCCACTAGGAGCGAGCTTCACGGGTGGGTGTCCCCCTCGGCGCAGATGCGACTTCTGGAAAGGTACGTCCCGGCGCCCATGACGCCGCCGTCAGCGGCGACGACAACGACGTCGAACCCGTGAACACCGACGATCGCCAGTCCGTGAGATGTCGTCGACACGAACGGATACCTTTTAGCCTTACCTTGTCGCCTCTCTACCTGTGTGTTCACCGTGTTCGTGCGCGTGTTTCCAAGCATGTGCAAATTCGTGCTGCCGTGAACGAGCGTCGCGTGTCCTCACCGTCTTCTCCAGCTCGCTGACTGCCGTTTAGGTAGGTTCGTGCACCGATTCCGTGAGCCCTTCGACCGGAGCTTTTTAACAGAACGATCTGTCATTCATAAGAGGGACACTCGCGCGTTGAAAAGGAGCACCGTAGAGCGATGGCGGAGGATTTCAGGAGGATTTTTCGGAATGATAGCTACCCGGGGGGAACGTGACTCGTTTGACAATCGGGCAACATTCTAAGGGGGAAAGTGTCGAAAGTAACTTTCGCTGGGAAATTTGGAATATGTAGTTCCGTGGCATCGAAATCTTGATGGTTGCGTCGCGAGATACGCGCGGTTCGAAGGTGCCTATTTTCGATGCCCCGTCCGTTCGTCGACGATTCATCGCCAGCTGGCAGGAGCGCACGGTACATCGCGTACGTCAACTGTCCAAGTTTACATTTTTAATTAGTAGCGACGCAGCGAAGGAGTTTCCTGAAATACCTTATTTACCATTCGCCTGTTTGGGCTTGGGCAGGCACACGCGGCGGACTCTGCGTGTCAGTGGTGTGTAGCTCTTTCACAAGGAAACATTGCCGCCGCCTAACCGATTCTTATCTCGCACTTTTCATTATCGAGCGTCGCTGCCGTTGAAAACGTCTCGAGTGGAATCTTCCGCGTCGGCGATATTAATGAAAAGCGCAGACACGCCTCGGAACCGTGACTTTCAATAAATGTTCGCCCTGAGCGTTACCACAGACCGTTCTCTCTGCTTCTCACGTTTCAGGTCCGTAGTAGCCTCTACGAGTTGTATAAAGGGACGTCGAGCCAGAAGCTGCGTTCTCCGACCATCCACGGACATGACTCCTATCCGTTGAAAATGAAACTATTCACCGTGCACCGTTTGCTCATCCGTGATCCTTTGTAATGCTAGTCGAGGAACGCGACTTTTCATCGGCGAGAAACGAGCCAGGAAACGCCGTCAGCCTCGACCACCACCACCACCACCACGAATCGATAAAGTGGAGCGTGGCTTTGAAACGGTGGAGAAACTCCAAAGCCTGATCCACGCTGCCATTTATTCACCGGAGTTTTCTATTCGCCGAACAGAGACGAACCTCTCAGGATGTTAACTTGCTGGGTGTTAACCGGCATCTTCGGGGCCATCGTGCTTCTATACGGCCTAATCGAGGTCCACTATTTCCTGCGCATGTTCTTCACCGTGATCTTCGCGCGTTTCTGTAAGAAAAAGGTCCACATCCTCGACGAGACCACGATTTACGGTACGTCCTCTGTTGGCTGTATCGCCGAAGGTCGAGCGAATCGCGTTAATTAGTAATTTATTAACCACATGTAGAGTAATCGTGACCAAAACACGATTCGAGAGATTCCATGAAAATGCGTTGTACCTCGAACAGTCACGTAAGTCCAGAATCCTTACAATTCACCGACTTATCTCGTACTCGTTCCCGCAAACCTTGACCTACCATGCGCGAATCAGTTAGTCGGCCGGTTGCTCGTGTCGCAAATCCGCGCGAGTATTGATTGTACCACACGGGGTTGCAGAGATATTCGAGGAAACTGGACCAACCAGTTGAAACGTAAACAACGTGAATTTCGTAGGAAATAGCGTCGCTCTTTCAGCTGAATTTTCGCACGGTTACGTTTGAAAGGAGGCTCTCCACCGAGAGACGAGATACATCTCTGTCGCGACCTATGCTTTACAACTCGGAGGAGGGATGATAAATCTTCGAAAGAATTAGTATGCTTCGAGATCCACGCTAATGCTGATCTTTTATTTATCAGTTCTCGTTACGGACAAGGAAACCGAGAGATCCTCCTTCTTCGTTCGCCTCTCGGTCGCGCCTTCTCCTATTCATTTCGTTGATCTTGTGCGATCCGTGCCTTCACATCCGTCAACAAGATCGACGACGAACTAGAAGATACAAAGAGCGCCTCGACGAACGGCTTGAAATCCCAATTTTTTCTTAGATTCTCATTTTTACCTTGGCAATCTTATTAACCAAAGTTCTCGGTATCCATTTACAGTGTCGAAGATGCACAAGTGTCGCACGGTTACGTGACCATTCGAAAGTTATTCGCGTGCTCTTAATTCCCTCGAGTTCGATCGAAAAAAAATCACAAAAGGTACATTTCGCAATTGCACCCTCTGAGACACTTTTTCTTTCTGGAAAAGTTGCGCGCGATAAGGGAAGCGTTCGTGATCCGAAAAGAAGAAGAGATTCTGTCTCGAATTCGCAGATTTCGCGGTCCGAAACGAAGAAGAAAAGTTTCTTACTCGAATTCGCAGTTTTCGCGGTCCGCAAAGAAGAGATTCGCAGTTTTCGCGATCCTTGGAAGATCCACGATAATATTTTCGAATCACCGAGCATAGTTATTCGTCGAACTTGGTGCACGCAGTTCTTGCAGTCGTATCAATATTTGATTTTCACAGGTATCTGCACTACCACAGACGTGGACACGTTGCTCTATCACATGAACAACGCGAGGTATCTTCGGGAGTTGGACTTCGCCAGGGCTGATTTCTACGAGAGGACCAGTTTGTACCGTGAGATCTGCTCGCAAGGATCCGGGGTTGTACAGGGAGCGGCGACGATACGTTACAGACGTTTCGTCAAGCCTTTGTCCATCTTCAAGATAACGTCTAAGGTAGTGAAAAATCAGCATCGCGATCGTTGTACTTTGACCAATCACTCTTAGAATACTTAGAAACATTTTTACGACACTTCGACGAAGTGGCAACTCTCTACCATTATCAACATTTGTTCCTGAGAAATTCTTGGAAAGATAAGAACGCAGAGAGAAAACCGAGCCTGTTCGAATGTTATCGTGCAAATCTTTGTAGTAGGTACTTTAGAGGTCGCGGTCTCTCTTGAGAGTGGTTAACGATTTGTAATTTCGTATGCGTCGCGTGTGACGCATCGTATCGAAAATGTATTCCATCCTTCTCGCTATCAGCTTTATCGCGATGCAGCTGGCATAAAAGAATATGTATACACGTCTCTAGCTGTTGGTTCTTTTTCTTCCTTTTTTTCTGTTACCGTAAATAAAAGCAGACGGTTACGTTGGCAAATGTGGTAAGAGAGCGTGGATTCTCTCGTCGAAATGTAACACGATGTCCTTGCAGATCATATACTGGGACGAGAAATCCGTGTTCATGGAACACCGGTTCATTACTCCTAGCGACGGGTTTGTCAGGGCCATCGCGATTTGCAGACAAAGGCTGTTGGACTGCAGCGCGGAGGCCGTAATCGGCTCCCTCATGGAAAGAGGAGTAAAACAAAATGGTAGCATCGACGCGGGCGCAACTCAGGTAAGATTTCTGAAAAAAAGTAATATATATATGTACACTGCCGCTCAAAAGTATTAAGACACTTTCTTAATTTGAACAAATGTCTGAAAAATGTTATGAAACCATTAACGAATGACACTAAATGATACATGTTTTGTTTCGTACCACACTGGAGTATGCAGGGTGTCCCAGAATTGATGGTACAACCGTGGAGGAGGTGATTCTACACGAAAAAATAAGTCGAAGTTTTCTTCGTTTTCGAGAAAATCGACTTTAAGTTTTCTTCGACTACGCATGCACCCAACCATATGGTCTCGATGTAGACCATATGTCGTAGGTTCATGAGTAATAATAAGGCATGTAATTATCAAGATTTCCTTTATTAATGCATGTTGAAAGTTTTGATTAATTGTGAAAAAACAGCACGTAATGTTTATAAGTTGTTTGTTACAATAAATAACTCCAGTGGAATGTAAGCTATTGTGGCGGTCCGAAGCGTGGGATTGTAGTTGGACGACGGCACTAGACTGTCTAGCTGGTTTCTTCGAGTCCTTAGGCCAGCAAGGGGTGCAATAAACCCAGGTCAAGAGACTTTCCCCGCTTACGCACCGAGAGAGTACGCGCATGTTAACGGTGAATTCCGTCAATGCAAAAATTGTTGAAAATGCTGGCCACCGTGCACCGAACGTCGAGATCCGTTCGTCCACGACATAGTGGGGTGGCATGCGTACTCGAAGAAAATTTAAAGGCGATTTTCTCGGAAACGAAGCCTCGAATGAAAACAATTTATTCCATATTTTCGACTTATTTTCTCGTGTCCATCAATACTGGGATGGCACCTCAATACTGGGAGACCTTAAACAATAGTTATATCTTCTTTTCGTGTATGTCTCCGCCTCTTGCCTTTATTGTATCATTCACGATTCTGGGCATCCTGGCTATTAATTTTTCTATTGTGTCAGATGTAATGCTCCTCCACACTATGTCTAAGATTTCCCACAAGTTTTTCCGACTTAGGACACAGCGAAGACATATCTCATAAACATTTTACAATTTCAAGGGCTTAAGTAATGAGTTTATTCACAATCATACAACTAGAATACGCTAAATATATTAGGTTGTCGGGAAAGTTCCTTTCGTAATCTGAACCATCGTATCTCTGTTTCTAATTGACATAGTAACAGAATTTAAACGGTACTTTCCTCGAGAGTTAAAGGCGAATCCAACGCAGTGCTCAAATTCTTTGTAAGACGAACAGGGATGTTCTCTGCATTGGAGCGAGGATGTTGAATTTTTCTTGGCAACGCTCCACAGCAGAAAATATAGTTCGCTTTAGGTGTAATTTTAGGGGTACGTCGGATTTATATTCAAGTAACGAGTAAAATACCTATCGGTTTTTGTCGCTATCTCAATTAGAAACAGAGATACGCCAGTTTGAATTCTTCCGACATTTCGCTACGAACTTTCCAAACCACCCGGTGTGTACTTCTTGTGTGTAGTGTGGGATTCTTGTCCACTAAAACCTCCATGGGCCATGGCTACCTTCGTTGGTAACACGAGAAGGGGGCTTCGAGAATCATTTTCAAACGCTTTCGAGTACACAGTCAACCCTCCTATAACGCAATTAATTCGCAGCGCGTTATGTGGGAAACGCGTTGTAAGACTGAGGTGTTGTATGGAAACCACGAACCAAGGGTACCGCGTTATAGGAGGGCCGTCGCAATTTTTGCTCCGCGTTATAGAAGGGCCATTGTAATTTTTACTCCGCGTTTCAAAAATACCGCGTTATAGGAGGGTCGCCGTAATTTTTGCTCCGCGTTATAGAGGGGCCCTGGCAAATTTTGCTCCGCGTTTCAAAAATACCGCGTTATAGGAGGGTCGCCGTAACTTTTGCTCCGCGTGATAGAGGGGCCGTGGCAAATTTTGCTCCGCGTTTCAAAAATACCGCGTTATAGGAGGGTCGCCGTAATTTTTGCTCCGCGTTATAGAAGGGCCATTGTAATTTTTACTCCGCGTTTCAAAAATACCGCGTTATAGGAGGGTCGCCGTAATTTTTGCTCCGCGTTATAGAAGGGCCATTGTAATTTTTACTCCGCGTTTCAAAAATACCGCGTTATAGGAGGGTCGCCGTAATTTTTGCTCCGCGTTATAGAAGGGCCATTGTAATTTTTACTCCGCGTTTCAAAAATACCGCGTTATAGGAGGGTCGCCGTAATTTTTGCTCCGCGTTATAGAAGGGCCATTGTAATTTTTACTCCGCGTTTCAAAAATACCGCGTTATAGGAGGGTCGCCGTAACTTTTGCTCCGCGTGATAGAAGGGCCGTGGCAAATTTTGCGCCGCGTTATATGGAAACCGCGTTTCAAAAATACCGCGTTATAGGAGGGTCGCCCCAATTTTTCCTGCGCGTTTCAAGGGTACCGCGTTACAGAAGAGCCGCCGCAATTTTTGCTCCGCGTTATAGAAGGGCCGTTGTAATTTTTACTCCGCGTTTCAAAAATACCGCGTTATAGGAGGGTCGCCATAATTTTTGCTCCGCGTTATAGAGGGGCCGTGGCAAATTTTGCTCCGCGTTATATGGAAACCGCGTTTCAAAAATACCGCGTTATAGGAGAGCCGCCGCAATTTTTCCTCCGCGTTACAGAAGGACCGTGGCAATTTTTGCTCCGCGTTATGTAGAAACTGCGTTATGGAGGAGCCGTCACAATGTTTGCTCCGCGTTATAGGAGAGTTAGAACCGGGACCTCCGTCCTCAAATAGGAAATCGACAAGAAAAAATAGCGCAAAGTCTCGGCTTGCCAGTCCTAAGTCTCGGGTTCCATTTCCCATTTTTTGAGTCTCTCGATTTTTTTCTCGGTTCCTACAACATACACTACCCTGCGTAAGTATTTGGACACTCGATGCGATCTAATTAAAAGGTTCATATGTCTTTATTATATTGCAATATTTCTACCTATAATCAGCAACAATGAATGTCGTTGAGGTGTAGAAGATCTAGGATCTAGTATATGATAATAAATTTACCAACAAATTAATGAAAATTATTAAATATTGTGAAATATTCTTCTTTTCGTAGAATTCCATCTATTCTTACTAAACTGTCCACTTTATTTGCACCAAAACATTACATTACCACCTCCATGTTTCACCGTTGGCACAACATATTGGGGTTTTCGCAACATCAATTTTCCACCGATTTCACTTTCGTAATTGCTTTTTCATTTATACTACTCCATGTCAAATGTTATTTTCATTGGTGTTTATAAACACTATGCGGGTCGCCTGGCATAAGATCGCAAGCCGAAACTGTATTAGAGAGTTTTATTTAAAGTATATTTCCTGCATAGTGTCCAAATATTTATGCACGATAGAGTAGGGGAAAGCGGGGTAATTCCGGCCACTTCAATATCTCAAAATAATACGGTACTGCCAATTGGTAATGATGCAACTAGCTAACATTTATCGTTTCTGTGACTGTAGCAGCCTTTTGTTTTAAACAATACCTGAATGTTCATTTTGCAACGAAACCTTGCAACAGTGGGCAATTTTCAAGCAAGCTAAATTAGTACTTAGAATCGACATAAATTATTAACATTAATCTCATTGAATAGAGAAACGTTTCTACTTTCAAAGTCACGTTTGGTTTTTTGTTACATGTAAATTCAATTCCGTGTATTATGTCGTGTACTCGCGTCGGTTTGCGTTGTATTGCAAACTTAGATCACGAGAGAAAACATTCGGATAATTCTTACCGAGGCCTGAAGCGGCCACGGACTGCTTTATTTCGAACGTTATCGTATATAAAAAATCTTGGTTGATCGTTCAGTGCTCGGACTGATTGAGTAGATGGTTGTTTCTTGTCGGCGTTCGGAACAAGGCTGCCTGAAAATTTGGAGGAGTACCAGAAATGAGAGTTGGTGTGGGAGTTAAAATTTCGGGGGTAGAATGTTGGAACGATAGAAGTTCGGTGACTGGTCTGAGGATATTTTGTAAGAAGTTAGGGAAAGGGTAAAAATGGGGACGGAAGGTCGAGGTGGCCAGGGTTTTGGAAAATCCCAGTAGGAGAGGAATTCGGACATCGGAGAAGGAAAAGACTAGTTTGCTAATTGGAAAATAGGTGCAATGGGTGGTAAAAATGTGCTAAATTGTCGTTCGGGTAAACGTTTTACGGGGGTACTCTCGTCTGACCGTCCCGTTAATCCTCTGCGTCGAGGCTCGTTTCATGATTTTTTGGAAATCATTGTTCCTTACGGAACATATTACTTGAAATATCTGAACACGAGGTGTGGGGTAATACCGGTCAAAATTCAGGGGAAATTCCAGCCAGCTTTTAACGTTGCTATTTTCTGGCGTAGATGCCACGAACGTACAAAAGAATTGCGAAGAAGGCAGATTGGAGCCAGGAAAATTTATTAAAGGCCATAGAGGTCATTAGTGAAAGAAAAATGCCGGTTAATTGGGACACATTGGGACCGGACTAGTTTGTCCCAAAAAAGCGAATTTCAACAGGCAAAATTTGAAGAACGTAAAAAATGATGCTGGAAACGATTTATTGAAAATGTGCGTTTAAGCATGCAAAGAAAGCTAACAATAAGTAAATAAACACGTATTTATATTCCGTTCTTCAGTATAAACGGCGGTGCCGCTTAACCGGCGTCTCAATTAGCCGGAATCTACTGCATAAGGCAGCACAATTTAAAGTTATGGTTCTGCAATTTAAAATATTTCTAGGTTCTAATGTTGCTACAAAAGTTGGAAGAAAACCAAGAGATTCAGTTAACAAAAAAAGTGAAACCGCTGCTAACTACAAAGTTTAATTTAACAGTTTTCTTACCTCTTTCGTAAAGAAAAATCAGCCAAATGCTGTTTTCAGTTTTCTCTTTCCAATTTATTACAACATAAATGTATGCCTTCTCGGCTATACTGATACAAACTAGACACTTCAAGCTATCGACGAATATCAAAAAATTAGCAAACGTGTAACTTGTTCAAATTTTATAGCACTTCTTGCTTATGTAGCCGGAATTACCCCGCTCTCCCCTACATAATTATTTAGAAAATAATTTACATACATTACGTGTCAATACTGTGGAAATGCTCGATTAGAAGAATGATTGCACCGTGTGCGCGGAAGGATAGAGTCGCGTGTGAATGTTTAGTTGAAAACCGTAGCTGCATGAACGAAGAATATTTGGGTCGGAGCGATAGAGGTGTGAGTGATAAGTGTTTGGAACGAGAGCGTGAGAGTATCGGAACAAAGAGTGCGTGAAAAGTTCGGTGGACGTAACTGGATGAGTTTCGAGAATATCCGCGAAGAGTGGAAGAACTAGAGGAACAGAGTACTACCACTAGCTTAACACTAGAACTACCGACCAGGTAAAAATCACCCATCAGCATCTTCCAAAAAAACGTGAACGCTCGATACTGCTAAGTATTATCCTTCGTAACTTTCCCAATTTATATTTGTATAAGTATGAATCCAATTTTCCAATCACGGTTTACTTACATGAAAATTCACTTTTGGAAAGCCGCTAATAGATCATTTCGACCCAATTGCTAGTTCTAGTGTTCAGTGTTGCTCAGTACTAATACAGCGTTAGTCTCTGATAATCTCAATTGATAAACTAAGTCCACCACCGAACATTTCTACCCTTGGGTACCAACCACGACTCATGGACGCTAGCCTCTCGCGTTGGTATCTTCGGTAAACGCCAGCGAAATATTTCGCAGTTTAGTTCTTAGTCACTTAGAACCTTTTACCTCAACCCCTCTCTAGTCCCTTCCACGTCCTTTTCCAATCCCTATAAATATAACAACCTCGCCGATGCTCGTTATTTTCCATATCTCTGTACGATTCACGTGTTTAGACTCTTAAATAAACCTCTTGTTAAGATTTTATAAAGTGTTGTACACGTTCCATCACCCGGAATCCAACACTACAACTCATGTTCACAACCGACTAAAATTACGCATTACAGATACCTCACGTCAGGCCGCAGATGCCGCCGGAAGTGGCGAGGTGGTTGGAGAGCAACGAAATCTCTTCGGCGTCGCTTCGTCAAAGCCCGACGGTGACGACGCATTGCTGACAAAAGGAGGACGCAGCGTCCATCACAAATGGCACCGTCTCCACTTCCGTCTACGCGATCACGGCCGTGTAAGGTCGAAGACTTGGATCGATTCCTGTCCTGTCTGCGGTCGTCGTTTACAGCGCGAACGAGAGAAAACCTCCCCGTCGTTTTTAATCGCGTCGAACGACCCTAACACGATGTACAGCCTCGTCTAATCAATTCTTCTTTTCCTCCTTTTCTTATATCTTTATTTCTCTCTCTCTCTCTCTCTCTCTCTCTAACAATAAGTGAAGAAAGTGTTTTCGGGTGAGATCGTTAAGTTTGGAGCTTTTATCGATTACAAGGAGAACGGGGCGCGAGAGCGCCGAACGTCAAGGAGAACGAGGTATACCTGTCCACCTGGAAATTGGTTCGAAAGCAGCGTGGACGTGCACACACGGTGTGAAAGAAGAAAGTACCTTCGATTGCGAGAACGAAAGAAAAGATACAGAGTACAAACATTCCAGAGGCAGAGACACCGATACCTATTTTACTTCTTCTTACTCGTGATCGTCTGCACGTGGACGCAGCCCTGTCGTTCAAACAGGGAAAAAGGGAAATTCGTTTCGAGGAATTATTTCGAAATATTTTACGAATAAAACCTGCCAAGCAGCCGTGGAACGAAGTGCTAGAGAGACTTTTGGCAGATGAAGATGGTTACAACTGATTCACTCCCAAGGAGCTTCCGCATGCTAGAGAGGACGCGTTTGTTGAATGTTCTCCGTTGAAAGTAACCGCCAGGCGTTATTTACATTTTTTAATTATATATAAATATTACAGATAAATATATATATACACGATATACGTTAGCAAATGGTGTCGGTAACGATTCTAAAGCGAACGAAAAATCAATAGGAGTTTCTTTAATCGCAGGACGATACAGCCAATCTAGAATGTTTATACTTCTATAACGTGTTATAAAGCGTGTCTTCGTAAGTTGTCGGACTGAGTGAAACCGTGAATGCCTTGTTACGACTTTTTCCAACGTCACTTTTCACTGTAACCACGTTTCTAGCGACAGAAGGTGCGTTTATTGGAAATAATCGAGAGTGTATACAGTCTCTTTACCGGCGTCATTTGCAAACCGACGAATCCCCGCAGGATCAAGCGTGATTCCGCTCGAACGTTTCCAAGTAAATCCCGGTACTCGGTAGTTTTTGGTCATTAAACATAGCCGACGGATTTAGCGAACAATCTCGAACAGCTGAAATAGCATTGTGCACGTACAACCACGTGAAACACGTTACTTGTAACTCTAGATATGATAATAATACCAGCGTTTCTTTTCCCGTCAGACTAGTACTGCGTTTCGATCGTGTCGTTGAAAAAATACCGTTGATTGTCCAGGTGTGCGAGAAAAACAAAATAATAATAAATTAATTCCTCAGATGGCTAATGAGTTTTCCATTGCGACTTTCGAATATTCTCGTCGGTGCTCGGGAATATATTGCATTGTAATTACAGTGTCCCACAGGGGTCACTTAGAGCATGCATAATTAGCGGAGCTTGTCGAATCGCGCGATTCGAAGGAACACATTCTGGGCATTCGAGTGTCATATTTTCAAGCAAAATGCGACATATGTAATACGGATAATACACGCGGAATATCTACACGTATTTTTAGATATCTTATCTATATATATATATTCTTCCGGGTTTGAAAGACGCGCTGTGTTAAGCGCAAATGGACGAATAAAAAAATACCTTCTCGTACACACACTCGACGCGCAAACAATTTCTCAGTTTGTATGCTGTTTATATAACATCTGTTGACATATACATTCGTTTGAATCGCAATACTTATCGTTCATTCACTGACTCACCCGTATAACTCGTTACAAAAGAACTAAACGATCGATTAAAGTACCCCGTACAGTCGAGAATTTTTCCTTCTTACGTCACGTAGGAAGGTTAACGGCGAGGATGAAAATAGACAGGCTGTTCGTGAACGACGACGAAGAAGAGACTGTTGTTGGTCGACGTTAGGTGAATCGACCGCGTGGAACGGCTCTGGTAACACATGGCCGGGCCAAGAACCGTTCAACGATTCCGACGGAACGCTTGTACAACGTGGAACCGGTTACATCGTGCCTGCAGTGCAAGAAGCGACCTCCCCGTTTGGAATTTCACGGTAACCGCACGCAGTCTTCCATCGGCTGTGGCTACGCGAACGTCGATCGCGCCGCTTGCTCCTGTTTTCTTGCCCGCCGCGACTTCCGGAAACGCCGCTGAAAAATGGTCTGCGCCTGCCTCGTCACCGTTCTACTTCTCCTCTACATACTCTTCGACGTGAATTACTTCCTCAGGATCGCGTTCACCATCGGTTTCGGCAGGATCTTTCAAAAGAGGAAGAATGTCTTCGATACGACTACTATTTATGGTAATTCACGGTTATCTTGCAATTTTCTTTCATTTCTTTTTTATTTTTAACCTTTCTTAGTTTCTTCTTTGTACTCCGGTGCGCCTTGAAGTTTAAAGTGTCGCGTTGAATTGTTTCAACTTTATATTAGCAGTTTGTGTGTTTAAAGAAGTATCGGTATTGACACTCAGAGCGCGGATTATTTTGTTGGAAAGTTGATTTGTTTTGCAGAAACACGCGCTTTTACGGAATTAAATAAAACGTGAAACGGAAAATTTACATAGCGCTTATCACGATATTTAATGATATAAATATTCAGCCAGTTGCTGTTCGAGAGATATCAGTTTTTTCTGCACGAACATGTGAACTTAAAGCGTCGCGATATTTACGAGTTTCGTAGAAATACGCGCTTTTACGAAGCAAAGTAAAGTAACTCTTGTAAAGGAAAAAGTTCATATCGAAAAATTGTACATAATGCTTATTATACAGACAGAGCTACGATTTTTAGTTATATAAATATTCAGCCACTTGCTGTTCCGGAACAAACACGTAGGAACGCATTTAGGCGCTCAATCGCTAGTCCACATATTTCGTTACTATTGGCGCCTATTTCCTCGCACTATACCGTTGCAGCCTTTCGATACACTTCCACCCTAACTTAATACTCAATTTTATCCTTTACACGCTTCCAGCTTAATTCGATAAAGAAAATTTTAAAGCCAAAATAAGAAATTTTGCAGCCGCGGTTCAAAATTTACCCTCGGCCACCCACGTTACGCGTTAAAGTCTGCCTATCTAATCAGTGAAAGTGTTAAAGCGTGTCCGGCGCTTAAAGTGTTAACATTTCGTTCTTTTTCAATAGGACGTATTTCGACCTTCGATAGCTGTTCAATTATTTATACAGCGAATGTAAAAGGTATTCGTGCACCCTATAAAACGGAATAACTTTTTTCAAATTGGGCCAAACGACTTGAGTTTGTTTGAGAAGTTAGGATTAGCTTACCAGATGACGTGTATAAAGTTTTTTGAGAAAATTGCGAAGAAAATTGTAAAGGTCACTGTTTACAACTTTTTTATCCGAGCTCGTAACGAAAATTTAAAAAATACGTTTTGTAGATCTGTGTGAATTATACACACGCTGAAAATTTCATCGAAATCGGTTGATGGAGAAACAAACGGCAGGCATCGAAAGATGTAAGAAACTTCTGATTTATTAGCGAAATAGTGGGATTTGCACAATCTTTGACCGTTTGTAACTCACAGCGACATTAACCGATTTCGATGAAATTTTCGTTACGAGCTCAGATAAAAAAGTTGTAAACAGTGACCTTTGCACAAATTGCATATTTTTCAAAAAATTTTGCACACGTCATCTAGTAAACTAATCCTTCTAACTTCTCAAAAGAACTCAAGTCGTTTGGCCCAATTTTAAAGAAGTTATTCAGTTTCATAGGGTGTACGAATGCTTTTTACATTCACTGTAGTATTGTAGGCGTTCGATCGATTATCGTGATACACGACATTGAAACGATAATGGACGTTGGCCTTCTTTGTCTGTTTTTTTTTTTTCGAGTATTATATACATGTATATGTATTGAAACGGGCGTTAGTTAACATAGGAATAAAGCGCGCGAAAAATGTTTCACGCCGCGTCCGTGTCACGTGGTCGGGACGTGGCGCGCATTCGAAATCACGTTGTTGACGTACATTGGGAATGTCGTCTGTAGAGGACGTATGCGGATGGAAGAACCTTCGGTTGTGCAGCGGAAATTCGCGCGAGAGCGTGCATTTCTAGAAAGTGTTTTTTACTTTTTCACTTGCGTAGGTAAATTGAATTTATTTATTAGTGCAATGTACTCGTGAGTCACTTCCTTGAATAAATTCGTTATCGACGCGATAACGATGAAAAGTATGGAAATTGTAATCGCTAGATTATATCGCTGTATCGTGATTATCGTGTTGAAAGTGTAATTTCACTTTCAATTAGATAACGCTCTTCTGAATAATTCCTCGGGTAAAATATGAAAGTATAAGTGAACGCCGAGTAGAATTGGTAATAAGATAATTACAATGTAATCAGGGTCTTTGGTCAAATCTGGTATAAACCGATGTCTACTGACCTATTAACCCTGTTACGCACACATTTTTCTCAACTTGAAATGCTAAAAATTATCAATTTCACTTTTTTTTTTAATTATTTTCTGGGCGTATGGAAATAAATTTGCTAGTTATTTGCAATGCTGTGATTTACGTTTTTGCAGTAGAATAGAAAACAGTCTTCACCCTCTTACGCTCACATTTTTCTCAACTTGAAATGCTAAAAATGATCAATTTCACTTTTTTTTTTAATTATTTTCTGAGCGTATGGAAATAAATTTGCTAGTTATTTGCAATGCTGTGATTTACGTTTTTGCAGTAGAATAGAGAACAGTATTCACCCTCTTACGCTCACATTTTTCTCAACTTAAGATGCCAAAAATGATCAATTTTATTGTTTTTTAAATTATTTTCTGGGCGTACGGAAATAAATTTGCTAGTTATTTGCAATGCTGTGATTTACGTTTTTGCAGTAGAATAGAAAACAGTCTTCACCCTCTTACACTCACATTTTTCTCAACTTGAAATGCTAAAAATGATCAATTTCACTTTTTTTTTAATTATTTTCTGGGCGTATGGAAATAAATTTGCTAGTTATTTGCAATGCTGTGATTTACGTTTTTGCAGTAGAATAGAAAACAGTCTTCACCCTCTTACGCTCACATTTTTCTCAACTTGAAATGCTAAAAATTATCAATTTCACTTTTTTTAAAATTATTTTCTGGGCGTATGAAAATAAATTTGCTAGTTATTTGCAATGCTGTGATTTACGTTTTTGCAGTAGAATAGAAAACAGTCTTCACCCTCTTACACTCACATTTTTCTCAACTTGAAATGCTAAAAATGATCAATTTCACTTTTTTTTTAATTATTTTCTGGGCGTATGGAAATAAATTTGCTAGTTATTTGCAATGCTGTGATTTACGTTTTTGCAGTAGAATCGACAGAATTGCGCAATATGGTAATGAAAGAAAATAATTGAACAAAATTGCACTTTTTAGAGGATCAGTTGCACACGTGTTAGACATGCATGATTTCTTCTTTTTTCTCGTTGTAAACGAAATGCAGAATAGATTTCTATATATTTACAAAATTTTTAATAAATTAAGTAACCTTTGCCTGAAACGTTTGAGTTGTCCGCAGTAGACTTCTAACTTCTTTACATAAATCTTTGTGCGTGTCGCATTTCTTGATTATTAAACTATCGACTATTAAAAGTCAACACATTGCAGTCGTTCTTTTCACCTTTTTTCTTTATCTCTCGATTAACAAGTGTGCCGCTGGAACAGACAATTCAAAGCGTTATAATTTCTAATACGTACAAAATTTACAAAGACAAAAGTTACTTATTTTATTAAACACTACATAAATATATAAAAATTTACCCACACTCCATTCAGAAAACTAAACGTACTCTAAGTTTCCCAGACATGAAGTGAGACAATACATTTTCGCTCGCGTTCTATAAAAAGCCTCTTCGCGCGATAAAGTTTAAAAGAAACGTTATCTCGACAATCGTTAACAGGCTCGTAGACACTTCGACGGTGTAATAAACATGATTCTCATCCTCATTTTCTCCGTCCATTTAAAATGCGACGAAACTTGGAGAAGAGCTGACGATAAGGTAACAAAACTTACAAGCGCATTTCCGATTTGCATATTCAAATGAATCGAGCGTAGTTAATATGCAATCAACTGCTAAATAACTTTTCCGTCGTCTCATTCTCCGTGGTATAATTGTCCTTGTTCTTGCGCCTTCAATAAGTGTCACATCGAAGAAGTAACATTTCAAGTATCGTTCCAGGAATATGCACCACGCAAGATGTGGATTTATTCTTGAAGCACATGAACAACGCTAGGTACCTTAGGGAACTGGACTTTGCACGTTTCCATTATTACGACAGAACTGGAATTTACGGGGCAGTGATGAAGAGAGGCGGAGGAGCTGTGCAAGGAGCATCTTCCACCCGATACCGCCGAGCTCTCTCTATCTTATCGCCGTACAAAGTGACCACAAGGGTGAGACAATTAGACATACCTATGATTCTCGGTAGAATCGAAGAAATACTTGCATTTCTTTTTCCCCTCAGCTGATCTACTGGGAGGACAAACACTTCTATTTAGAACACGAATTCATCAGTCTACCGGACAACTTCGTTCGCGCAGTCGTCCTCAGTAAGCAGACCGTCACAGGTTTGAACATTCCAGCTTCCGAGATAATCGCCGAACTGGAACCAAACGCGCAACGACCAGAAATCTCGAAAGACCTAGAACTCTGGTTGAAATCCATGGATGAATCCTCTCAGAAATATAGAAAACAAAGATAAGAGGTGACACACTTCCTTATCCCCTTTCCGTATTGCTCAAATGTAATTACTTCGTATGTACTTCGTTACCTTGCACGTTTCGTTTGGCGCGTTTCGTTGTGAATGGATCTGTACGGAGACGAATGATTTATTTGTATGATTAAACTGTAACTGGTGGCTTGACGTCAAACATCGGACTCCTCCGTTCTTCTGTCACGTTTAATTACCTCTGCTTCCTTTCGGTTTGCTATCCGTGAAATCGGGCGAAATATTTGAAATACAGATGAGACGAGAATTGAAATAACAATTGCACTGGTATTTCGATTTTCCAAAACGATAGAGAATGTTTCGACGAGGAAAAATGGGTTAACGAAGGATAAAAATAAAATCACCGGAGTAAAAGTAAACGTTCCTTTCTCCGACAGTTTACACAGCCAGTGACGCGAGAGTACTCTTTCGCCTTGAATCTATCACGGAACGTTCCCTCGCATCCCATGATTAACTCAGCGCCCGTCAGATGGCGACTTTCGTTTCACGATGACCGATGGAGAACGGATGTGCGAGAGTTGTGCGCGTTCCTGGCGTGCAGTCGATCCGGGAACTCGAAACCTGTCGCGAACACAAGCCGACCTTTGACTCCGCTTTCCATGAACTTTCGTGAATCGTTCAGTGTCGAAGAGCTAGTGACAGCTCCTGTCAACCACGCCACGCTGGATCCTTCTCACTTTCATCCCACCTGTAAGTGGAATCAGACTGTTTTCAAACCAACGTCTTCCGGCCCCATCGACATACACTTCCGTCACTTCGAATTTCACGCGCAATTCGGTATAGATACAGTATAGAAAAAAATCCCTCTTTTTCTGTCTCTTGCATGGAAATTGTTCGATTGATGAATGAATAGTGGAAATTTCCATCGACGTACATTTCCGTCTCTTCGAATTTCACGCGCAATTCGCTGTACCGTTTGTCACTTGGAAGAAAATCTATTCTTCTATCTGTTGTATGGAAATTATTCGACTGATAAATAAATAGTAGAAATTCCCATCGGCGTACACTTCCGCCCCCTCGAATTTCACGCGCAATTCAGTATAGATACAGATTGTCACTTCAAAAAAGATCTCTCCTTTTCTATCCTTTGCATGGAAATTGTTTGTCTGACAAATAAATAATAGAAATCTCCATCGACGTACACTTCCGCACCCTCGAATTTCACGCGCAATTCAGTATAGATACAGATTGTCACTTCAAAAAAGATCTCTCCTTTTCTATCCTTTGCATGGAAATTGTTTGTCTGACAAATAAATAATAGAAATCTCCATCCACATACACTTCCGTCACTTCGAATAATTTCACGCGCAATTCAGTATAGATACAGATTGTCACTTCAAAAAAGATCTCTCCTTTTCTATTCTTTGCATGGAAATTGTTTGTCTGACAAATAAATAATAGAAATCTCCATCCACATACACTTCCGTCACTTCGAAATTCACGCGCAATTCAGTATACAGTTTTGTCGCTTCGAAAAAATTCTCCCTTTTTCTATCTGTTGCATAGAAATTATTTGTCTGACAAATAAATAATAGAAATCTCCATCCACATACACTTCCTTCACTTCGAATTTCACGCGCAATTCAGTATACAGTTTTGTCACTTCGAAAAAATTCTCCCTTTTTCTATCTATCGCATAGAAATTATTTGTCTGACAAATAAATAATAGAAATCCTTATCCACATACACTTCCGTCTCTTCGAATTTCACGCGCAATTCAGTATACAGTTTTGTCACTTCGAAAAAAGTCTCCCTTTTTCTATCTGTTGCATAGAAATTATTTGTCTGACAAATAAATAATAGAAATCCTTATCCACATACACTTCCGCCTCTTCGAATTTCACGCGCAATTCAGCATAAATACCGTTTGTCACTTCGATAAAGTCTATTTTCCACTTGTTGTATGGAAATTATTCGACTGATAAGTAAATAGTAGAAATAAAAGCTCGACGTGTTTAATCAAATTTTACATCATTGACACGATAAAAAGTGACAGAGCTCGTTTGTATGTATCAGCTAAGCGTACAGCCGAGTCAGTGTATCGTTTTTCAGGATTCCGCGAGGCAAGCATAAATTAAAAAGAAGACACGATGAGTAATAGTAGCAGGCGGGTGATCGTAACGCGTTATTGTCGCCGTCCACTTTTTATTCGCCCGTTTAACGCGTTTCATTCACTCGTTAGCTACGCAGGGAATGAGAGTTTCCGCCTAGCGGTACGGTTTTAAAAAGAATCGGCCGCCTATTCATGAAAGGCAACGTTTGCGTTTACGCGATGTCTTTTGCGAAAGACCTACACGTATACAACTGTTGATTGAATTGCGCAATTAGGAAAATTCCTACGCGATACGATTCCCTATTGTTTTTCACGTTGCTTCGTAGCAGGCTTCCTTTTCTCGTTCTTCAATGGAAATCAAATTTACGATTTTCTGTTTTTGTATTCGAAGCAGAGTAACATCAAAATTCGATAAATTTGTGAAACTTCTTTCTGTCGTTCAATGATCGTTCGAAGCAGAATAATACAAATTTGTGAAACTTTTTTCTGTCGTACATTGAAAATCAAATTTACAACTTCTCTGTTTTCTATTCGAAGCAGAATAATACCAGCGAATTTGATAAACCTGTGATACTATTTTGTCATTCGCGGAAAATCAAATTTACGACTTTATTCACTCGAGGGAGAACAATATTTACGCGGAAATTTGATAAGCGAGCGAGACATTGTAACCGGTTCGCCGCAGATTACTTCTCGCCTAGTTTCGTGCGGAAAATTAGCAGCTTCGCCAAGGCTCCAGGCAATTTGGTCCGCGAGGTCTCCGTTAGTCACGATAAGAAGCGTTTCTAAGCCGACGACGGGAAGAATTAATTCGTTGTCAGCGACCTTTAGTAATCTTAATGGTTCGAATTGTCAGATTAACTAGCTCAGCTTCCACATAATCATTTCTAGTTTCCTCGAGGAACGTCTGTTAGAAGAGTATTTGCTACATTTCTAAATACATAATTGGGAACAATTTGAAAAAGGGCGTTCCTTTGAGAGAACTGGCCACGCAGTTTTCTGCTTGTCCACCGGTTACGTAAAGCAATCGAGACCGTGTATTACATAATAATGATTACGAACGAATCTGATAATCAAGCTAATGCGAATTGTCCAATGACACTGGGTCTCGTTGCCAGGCCTGTTTCTCCATGAGCCAACACATGAGAAACAATCGCCTCTAAACGAGTCGCGAACTGACGCTGCCCCACGAATTATGGCCAAATTGCACAGTGATCTGATATTCGTGGAACGCTATTTCACTTTGTTTTTCCCCCCCTTATCGCCCGGTGATCGTGGGACCATGGCTGTGTACTTACTTGTGAATGAAGTTTCTCTGATAAATGTTGCTCTCCTTTCGTGAGTTCAATTTCTCTGAAAAAGATTATTCTTTTGTGAATTGAATTTCTCTGAAAACATTTCTTCTTCTTTTGTGAATGAAGCTTCTCTGAAAAAATTATCCTCCTTTTATGAATTAAATTTCTTCGAAAAAATTCTTCCCCTTCTGTGGAAAAAATTACTTTTCTTTCGCGAATGAAATTTCTCTGAAAAAATTATTCTTTCGTGAATGAAAATTCTCCGAACAATATTAATTTTCCTTTACGAATGGAGTTTCTCTGGAGAAATTATTCTCCTTTTATGAATCAAATTTCTCTGAAAAAGTTCT